TGTCTGTGAATGTTATCACAACATTTTACTCTGCGTCAACGAAATTTTGTTACTGTTTGGCTGTCTCTTTCACAATAGATTTGTTCAGCCCTGACACTGTTTTATTCACAATAGAATTGGTTACTTTTTCACCTTGTTACTGCTTGGCTGTCTCTTTCGCAATAGATTTGTTCAGCCTCGTCAATGTTTTATCCACGATAGAATTGGTTACTTTTTCACCTTGTTACTGTTTGGCTGTCTCTTTCGCAATAGATTTGTTCAGCCCTGACACTGTTTTATTCACGATAGAATTGGCTACTTTTTCACCTTGGCGTTATATTTTATGTAATGTTGAATTAGATTCGGCTTTCTCACATTTCACCTACTCAAAAAACATTTATACGTACAGTCAAACCTCGTTGTAGAGCACCCTGTTGATGCGCCAGCCCCGCTTACCGTCAGGTTTTGTCAAGGTAGGAAAAGGAGCGCCTGTATAAACACAGTATGTGAAGGGTGCTGACAAAATGAGTTACTTCTCGGATTCATCAAGCCAGATGGAAATAAGATACATCTCGCTTGTAGGTGAAGTTTTTACAGTTTATAAGTATGAAATACTAATAGACAGGGTATACGTAAAGAATATGGCATCCATAGAAAATCTATCAACTTGACACCAATGTCGATTTCTGGCCAATATTCTCAATTACAATTTGAGGATTGCGAGAAGTAATTCATTTGTCAGCACGTCTCACATATGCCATCACACCGTTATCCACCAACTGTCAGAGTTGTATAGTCCTTGTAAATTTGCCCTGCCATACCATACCACCAGCGAACAGACCCGGCAGAGGTACCCACTGCGCGCGGCGTACAACTCCCTCTGGTTGCCTACTTGATCATCTATCTCCCACAAAATATAGAACGAGAGAGGGAAGACTCTCAGCACTGAATACATGTGGGTGCTTTGAAAGTCGAAGCAGACTTTGTGCTGTTGAAGCTAGAAAGGTGAGTAGAGTAAGCCCGATTCCCTGTAAAGACTTCTCTGTAGACACCCACCCCTTGGCGCTCATATGACCTTATGCAGTTGCGAGCGCCGTAATACCTCTACTAAATATATAATATGAATACATGTGCATGGACAAATCACCAATAAAAAGACACTTTTCAAGCACAGAGCACACTGTAGCTTCATTTTCCTTGACATTGGTCAGTCCGGGCTGTACAACAGAGGAACACCGTTGTTGGACCGCCAGCCCCGTTGTTTTGCCAACTTCATGCTCATCCTGATTGATGTACAGAAAAGTTGGAAGACATGGAATAACATCAAGAGGCTAGCCCAGGATAGAGAAAGGTGGAAGGTGTTTGTCCGTGGCCTCAACCCTGGTGCTGGGTGAGAAAGATGGTGATGATGATGATGATGATGATGATGATGATGATGATGATGATGATGATGCTCGTCTCAGAGGTGGCAGTATAATAACGAGGTTTGACTGTGTATGAGAATGTGAAAAGTTGAGCATCAGACAAATTTTGTGATACTGTTTAATTTGCTTGTTATTGTTGAAAAGAAGTTCTTTATTTGTTGTACCTAATTTGCATAACGAATGCTTTGATCATTTCTATATATAGAATTATTGTTGAACATCAAAGATTTTTTTTGTGATACTCTTTTAATATTGCTTTATTATTTTGTTTAAAAGAGCTTCCTGTTTTTTATATCCAACCCATCATATTGCCAGAATACTTTGATCTCATCAAAGGAATTAATTAGCCCTGATACTTTGTATATTTTCTGTTCGCGTGTCTGTAATTGAAATTGGTCGCTTTTAAGGACAAGCCGGCTAACCCAGATTTCGTGGGTTTCCAGAAATCTTCAATTGCACATTAAAGTTGGCATTGCCCTACCTACAGGAGAAGTTTGGTTTCATTGGTGTGTATATTTGTTTGGTTACAGAGAAAATTCTCATGGTCTTTTACACAAACTGAACAAGGGGCAAGCACTTTTCCTTCGATTTTGTCAAAACAGCATTTTTCGGGATAGCCCCCTTGTGCTTAAAAGCGACCAATTGTTTTTTAACAGTTGACAGATAACTCACGTTTTTGTTACTCGGAAGCTGTTGACTGAAAAGTAAAAATTCGGCAGTTTTAAAGCTTTTATTTTCAATATTTTTTGATAGATATACAAACGTTTTAAGTCGCATGTATTCTAATTTAATCCAAATTCTTGAATGTTGATTCTTTTGCCACTGCATACTGAATTGTGATGATCAGAAATACACGCCCCCCCCCCCCCAGGGCAGTGCTACTGACTGAAGTTGTTTTTAGGTCTTTCCCAAAGGGAGATAGGGAGATATTAACATGTTCTTATGCACAGTAGAATTGTAAACGGGCTGATTTATCTATGTCATGCTCATACTGTGCCGGAACAACATAGGGGGAACTGCTGCTTTTTTCCCCCTCATCTTTACAATCGCCATTTTTTTCTCTACTTCTTTTGTATGCTTGTCACTCTCTTGTGAACTGCTATTTCGGGGATGCCTTGATAGTCGAAGTAGACTGTGCTGTTGGGGCTAGAGAAGTGAGCAGAGTAAAGGTCCAAACGCGCACTTGCGTGCACAAATTGCACACGCCTACTGAGCAAACTTCGATTTGGATTTTGCAAGGGTCAGTGTGAATAAAATTATCTCCCTTGAATACGGAAAGACATAATTTGTCAATTCTTTTCAATTTCAAGTCTTGGCAGAAAATGAATTAAAAAGATGGCATGTACCAAAGTTCTCTTGGCTGAATTGAATTGTACTTTTAAGGTGGGTGTGACAACGTTTGCAACACGGTAGCTTCTGTTTCTTTTAAATATGATTTAAAGTAATCCTACCATATGAATACCGTACAGGTGTTCCGTTTACTGCCTTTTTAAATTTAATGGCAGGTAAGAGACAACGGCTACAGTTTCTTTTTTCTTTTTATTTCCTTTAAATTTCAATTTTTTTTCCTTCTGTTTGTTGTTTTTACCCTAGCTTTGCAATACAGTTTGTAATTTGTATCTCTTCTGTGTTGGTGTTCATTGTCTGATCTGGGGTGGTTCTTTGTTACATAAGGTTGGAAGTGTGTGTGTGTGTGTGTGTGTGTGTGTGTGTGTGAGAGAGAGAGAGAGAGAGAGAGTGTGAGAGAGTGTGTGTGAGTGTGTGTGTGTATGTGTGTATTCAAGAAACAGTTGTTCAGATTATTATTATTTTGTTATTTTAACGTGAACAATGCCTTGCTCTCCGCTGTATGCAAACGGTCTCCGGTATGGGATAAAAGAGATACAGTTTATGTAGTAGTAGTAGTAGTATAAGGTTTTACGGCGCTCGCAACTGCTAAGGTCATATGAGCGCGCATACAGTTTATGCAAATCGAATAATCACAGGCAAGCTGTGGAAAGAAATTTCCATTGAGGTTTTAAAGCATGAAAGTAAGTAGCATTTGGCGCGCCACTTCTTTTTTTTCTTTTTCTTCAGCACCACCTCAGTACCAGTTTCTGCTTTCTGGCTGGTAAGCGCTACGTCGTGTGTTGCAGCAGACCTCACGGGTTCGCTATCCTCGCCTTCAAGACCTGGCATCGTGCGGCTGTGAACGACACAGGTGCAATATACTCATTTTACTGTCCGTCGTTTTATGCAAGAATAATTCTGAAATTATCCAAACTGAGCCCAAAAACGTGAAATTATGCGCAACTTTGCACACGGGACCTCCGTGATTTTTCGACCTTGCCCGAGAAGGCTAGGTGACTAGGTGTAGATATTTCCTACCAGAAGATCAGGGGTGTGGCTGAAAGACAGCAGTATAAAGGAGCCAAGGAGTATATGGAGCCAAGGAGTATATAATAGCAGTAGAAAGAGTCAGAAGCCCAGAAGAGGGGACAGGGAGGTGAGGGGGTGGAGGAAGAAAGTGATGACTAAGGCAGAAGACAGAATATTGCAAAAGAGAAGGTGGAAGGAAACCGTTAGAATTTTTTTCCCGTCCCTACCCCGATTCGAACCCGGGACCTTTGAAGATGTGGAGCATCTCTCAGCCTCCGTTGCCCCCGATATGCAGTGTTTTGAGGTCGATCTAAACGATCTAAATTGTGTCGAGGGGGTATATAAAGAAGAAAACCACCTGCAGTCCTGCGGGGAGAGAATCATGGGGAAGCCATTTGTGAGAATATAAAAAAGTTTGATGGTTCATCGACTTCTTTTTCTGCCACATCAGACTATGTGGATACACAGAAGAGTAAAAATACAAGAACGATAGGTTTGATTGGAAGGGATCCAATCACAACAGAGCACCCGCCAACTATCATCTACGGCACACTTGTTTCTACTTACAATCCAAAAGTCCAAAAGTAGAAAACCACAAAGCTTGATCGTTAGGCCGGCCTCATAGAACGAGTAGTGAAACGCGTAATGTGAAATGTGAAATGTGAAACGTGAAACATGAAACTAGAAACATCAGGCAATCACATCGGACCGGCATTTGTGAAATACGAAATGAGAAAAATCAATTCACAAGTAGGCAGCTCAGTTGTCTGACGTTTCTAGTTTCACGTTTCTTGTTTCACTACACGTCCTTTGTGAGGCCGGCCCAAGGAGACGGGGGTCAACGAACAGTACAGAAATACAAACACCATACAAGGATTGGTTTCTGATTCATTTTTAATGTAACAAAACATGTCCAGTTGAATATATAACGGGAGTGAAATATATTGCAGCTTTAAATCAAGATAAAGCTTAAACGGAATAATAGCTGACGCTGAAGTCGGCTCTGCATCCATCGCTGACCCACATGGTATTGGCCAAAAAGCCGTAAGTGCTTCCCAGAGTGCAGGGGGCGGCGGACTGTTGGTTGGCCACTCGCATGGAGTAGATGCAGGAGGAGGAGGGGAGAATCTTGGTGGCGTACTTGTAGTTCCAGCTGCTCACGTTTACTGTAGTGGTGCTGGAGGCGCCTGGGGACAAGGGGAGATGGATGTACATAATTTGTATTCATTATGGTTGAAAGAGCAGGTGTTTTACGGCACTATCAACTCAATTTTAGTCATCAGTTATGGTTCGAAATGACAATTTTGAGAAATATGCGACACGACACAGAAGAATCGGGCACTCTTTTAATTACATTTTTGGGCATATGGAGTTATTGGTATCATCTTAAAGCCTTTTCACTTGCCTTACTTTGGATTTAAAAAAATCAAAACCCTTCCAACTTGAAAAGAAGTCGAGATATTTGCATTTGAAGGAGATGGGGGTCGCCTGGTTTCAGGTGCAAAATAAGCAAGAAAATGACCAACGACACATTCATTTCTTGCAGGTTGTCCAACAATCGTGAACAATTTTGCTTAATCTGTCCCCACAGTTTTATGAAAAAAAAAATAATTCTGAAATTATGCGCAAACAGCCCAAAATGGGAAAGTATGCGATTCTGTTAATTTTAACATAGAGCGATAAAAGAATATAAATAAGAAATTATGCAAAAAATGATCAAATATTGCTAAATTGTGCAGGGTGCATAAAACCTCGGGGACATCTTCACGTCCCACGCCTACCTTGGACATAACAGATGTTGAAGTCAGCGCGGCAACCATTATCCACCCACACTGTAGAGTTCTCATTGTAGAAGCCGAAGGATTTATCCAGGTCGCAACTGGCCGCGGACTGGCGATCTTCCACGGTCATGTTGATGAACAATGCAGCCCCCGTCACCATCTTCTCGGCGTACTTGTAGTTCCAACTTTCCACTCTGAGGAGTTGGCACTCAGTGGGCCTCACTGGGGAAGCAAAAAGGGAAAAGCAACGTAAACTATTTTATGAAAAAGTCAGACAATCTAATTGCTCAACTAGGAAGCTTTAGGAAACGTCATTCATTTTGCTGATTGAGTGAGTATGTGTTTTACGACCCTGTCAACTCCCTTTTGGTCTTGTAAGTACCAGCACGTTTTACTGCAACAAATCTATCGTCATGTGGTCAGGTTTTAGTTTTACTGCGCTCGCAACTGCATACGGTTATATGTTAAAAAAGGACGTACAGACATTTATAAAAATCTTGTAGATACAGTAAAGGCTCCTTTACATTGGTATTCATTACAATATTAATTTCAGTGTATGTAATATATACACCGACAACCCCAACTATACATTCTATTTTATGAAAAAGTCAGACAATCTAATTATTTCTCAACTAGGTAGCTTTAGGAAACAGAACAACCTTTGAAGGAACAAAACTTGTCACTGCCTTTCATTTTGCTTCTCGTTACGAATCCGTCTTTTACCTTGATGTGAGTGAAGGGCGGTTGGCGGGCGTTTTGGTGTGGTTTGCTCCCTTCCCATCAAAATATATCGTATTTCTCCGTTTTGTTAGTTACTCCAACAGTCCAATCTTCGGCACAAATGACTGATGCAGGTGCCGCAAAGCTCATTAAAACTTACCTGGGTTTTGGTTGATTGATTAGGTCTTTTACGACACTATGGACTCAATTTTGGTCACCCATTAAACTATCGTATTTCTCCGTTTTGTTAGTTACTCTAACAATTCAATCTCCGGCACTAATAACTGTTGCAAGTGCCGTAAAACTCACTAAAACGTACCTGGGAGATGGCAAAAGCAAAATTTGAAGTCAGCCCGACAGCCCTGATCCACCCACAGTGTGGCCTTCTGGTAGCCGAAGGATTCGCCCAGGGTACAGGCAGCCTCGGACTGCCGATCTACCACCGTCATGTTGACCACATAGGAGACACCTTGTACAACCTTCTCGGCGTACTTGTAGTTCCAACTCTCCACCCGGATTGTATCGCACTCATCTGGGCCTGCAGGAGAGTTGGAAACGAAGCAAACGATTGAATAATTTGTTAAAAAAGGAAACAGGCAAGAATTTTAAAGAACATGATAACCGGGACATATTCAGTTCAGAATGTGTCACTGAGGGGGGGGGGAGGGGGAGGGGAGAGAACAGCTGTGTGAAGAACAATGAAAGGTCCTGCTAAGTTCCAAGTATTAAGACTCCGCGTTTAGATAACTGTCTTAGTGCCACTGCAGAAGTCGGTAAAGTATAAAAAATAGCACTTGACCGATTGTCTTTTTCGGGAAAGTTGGCGTGCCTCCAACCACCTTGTTCTGAACAGCTTTGACAAGATGGTTGGAAAAAAAATCAACATTAATGATTATATATATTTATATAACTTAAAAAAATATATATATAGTCGCTTTTAAGCACAAGGAGACTAGATCTAGATCCCGAAAAATGCTATTTAGAAAGTCGAAGGTAAAGTTTGACCCTTGTTCAGTTTCTTTAAAAGATAAAGAGAGTTTTCCCTATAACCAAACAAATATACACACCAATGAAATCACACTTCTATGTAGGTAGAGCAAAGCCCACTTTACGTCAAGATTTCTGGAAACCCCCGAAATCTGGGTTAGCTCGCTTGTCCTTAAAAAACGACCATAATATTATTTAAGTTCTAGTTTTCCAAAAACTACTCACATGCTTGTGTGGCAGCCAGGACGGAGAGGAGGGCGAGAATGACAGCGGCGGTGTTCATCTTGTCTGGTCTTGTAGGGAGTTGTTGCGGCGTCAATGATGTGCTAGATCTAGATCTATTGTAGCAAACTGAAACGGCTCACGGTTTATATTCGAAAAGTGGTCCTACGGTGTCGACACAATTTTTTTTAAAAATCAGAAAATGGAAAGTGGTATTTTGGACGCCGTAATTCTCAACCAGTCAAAACTTTTGTTGTAAGTGTTTTGCGCCTTTGTCTGACCCAGTCTACATCTTTATGGAGGCGGGCTGCTTCCTCTGAGTTGTGTAATGGCCAATCAAGAATATGTCAGGTACATCCGGCAGGCAGGGACACGTAGGTACTCGAAAGAAAATCTTCAGCATGTTGGAATTGAACTCCCGTTATTTAGCGAAGAAGCAACCTACCATCCCACATTTGGTCGCTTTTAAGCACAAGGGGGTTATCCCTAAAAATGCTGTTTTGAGAAAATCGAAGTTAAAGTTTTTGCCCCTTGTTCAGTTTCTATAAAAGACAAGGAGAGTTTTATCTACTATAACCAAACAAATATACACTCCAATGAAACCAAACTTCTCCTATAAGTAGGGCAATGCCCAATTCTGGTGTAGGACAAGATTTCGGGAATCACCTGAAATCTGGGTCAGCCCGCTTGTCCTTAAGCGACCATTTGCTGGTTCAGTGAAACTATAGGCAAGGGGGCTCTCGTGGCCTAGAGGTTAAGGTGTTGGCCTCTCATTCAAAGGTCCCGGGTTCGATTCCGGGTAGCGACCAAAAAATTGTCTTCTCTAAAATTGTCTCCTTTCCCATCCTTTCCTGCTCTCTAGCAATGTTCTGTCGTCTGCTTTCATTTCCACTTTCTGCCCCCACCCCCTCACCTCCTTTGCCCCCTCCTCTGGGTTCCTGACTCTTTTTGCAGCCTTTCTACTGCTACTCCTTGGCTCTCCTAACTGCTGTCTTTCTGCCACACCCCTGATCTTCTGGTAGGAAAGATCTACACCTAGCCTTCTCGGACAAAGGCGAAAAATCTCGGAGGGCCCGTGTGCAAGTTGCGCACGTTAAAGATCCCTTGGTGGTCTAAAATCGATAAGAGTAGGCTTTGGCCGCCACCCGGGCAAAATTCAAAATTTCCTGCCAACGAAAATGTATTAGATGTGTTCCGCGCGCTCATATGACCTTATGCAGTTGCGAGCGCCGTAAAACCCTATACTAAACAAAACAAACTAAAGGCAGCAGAGGAAGAAACAAAGAATAGAAGATATCAGATACTTAGATCTAGTACAGTTAGAATCATAAAATAGAAGCAGATCGTTTGGAATAAAAATAGCATAGCCTACTTTTGTTTAGTAACTGAAAGAATATGAGAATCGAACTCAGGTCTTCTGTGAGCTACGACAAGCGCCTAATCAGTATACTATGTCGGTAGCTGCACTGCCATTGATTTGGCAACTGCGAAAACTGGAGAGATGAGATGTGTCTAAAGTGGATTCCTCTCGCTGTCCTCGTCTAGATCTAAACCGGGGGCTCTCGTGGCCTAGATGATAAGGTGTTCGCCTCTCATTCAAAGGCCCAGGGTTCGAATCCATGTAGCGACGGAAAAAGTTTCTTCTCTAAAATTGCCTCCTTTCACCTCCTGTCCTGCTCTCTAGCAATGTTCTGTCGTCTGCTTTCGTCTCCACTTTCTGTCCCCACCCTCACCTCCTTTGCCCCCTCTTCTGGACTCCTGACTCTTTCTGCAGCCTTTCTCCTGCTACTCTCTGACCCCTTCTTACTGCTGTCCTTTAGCTACACCCCTGATCTTCTGGTAGGAAAGATCTACACCTAGCCTTCTCGGATAAGGTTGAAAAATCCTGGAGGTCCTGTGTGCAAGTTGCGCACGTTAAATATCCCTTGGTGGCCAAAAATCGATAAGAGTAGGCTTCGGCCGCCAGCCGGGCAAAAGAAAAAAATTCCTACCAACTGAAAAAGTTAAATGTGTCCAGGGCGCTCATAATGACCTGATACAGTTCCGAGAGCCGTAAAACACTTACCAACAACAACAACAACAAAATCTAAACCCGACACACGTCAGATTAAATTTCTTGGAGCTAAAAATGAAGTTTATCACCGTAAATCCTTTTTCTAAAAAATACCCACGCTTTTTAGCTTTCCAAGCTTGAGCCATGAGCCCTTTTCCAATCTTGCTCACGTTTTTTGCCACGTGCTGCACGCAGATCTACTCTTTCTCCCCATGCCCACCAGCATTCTCATATTGAACACTGAAGTGCACGGCTTTTACTTTTTCACGTAGCGCGTTCACTCTTTCTCTCCAGCTCTGTTTGTGAGAATGTGTGTGTGTGTGTGTGTGTGTGAGTGTTTGTGTGTGTGTGTGTGTGTGTGTGTGTGTGTGTGTGTGTGTGTTTTTTTTGATTGATTGATTGGGTAGATGTTTTACGGCACTATCGACACAATTTTGGTCATTTAAGCGCCATCAGGTTTCACCGCTACAAA